GGGTGGGGCGGCGCCGGCGGGTGTGGGGGGGGGAGCCGCTACGGCAGCGGGATGAGGAAAGCATCTTTCGCTACGTCTCCAGCTGATTCACTCTCGGCGTAAATGCTGCAGTGAAGCTCAGCAGGCTCCTCCTCCACGTCAGGGATGAGGCGAAGGAGGGGAGGAATCTGGTGGCGGTCTGACTGTAGCAGGTTACTGCACGCTCCTGGGGCCTTCTCTCTTTTCGTGTAGTGCTGGAGCCCATGCGCATGTCATGCTTCCCACACACGCCTCATCGGCAGAACAACTCTAGCCTATCAGTGGTGCATGGGGCCTTCCTCTGGGGTGCAGTTTTCACTCCTTTCCTGGTTATTTTCCCACTGTCTCTATTGGGAGCTGGCACAGGAAGGAGATGAAATCCAAGTTAGTGTCACAAATTCTTAAATTACAATCACTGACACAGTTCATAGTAAAGTGGTATATACATGTAAAGTAGGGGTGGCCAACCAGTTAGAGACAAAGAGCCAAAATAGCAGTAGATAGAGTGCAAAGAGCCATGTATTATATATTGAGAGAGAGAGAGAGAGAGAGAAAATTTAGCGATAAAAATAACATTACAGGACATTTCAGACAAAAATTACTATTGTCTAATTGCTTCAGCCTGGCAAACAATAACCTTTGATTTTTCTTTAAAGAAACACAGTGTAAATCAGGTACCCTACTCTCCCCCCTGCTCCACTCTAATGTTGGAGCTGGAGCTGCCACCGCCACCACCGCACGCTTCTCCCTCTGGGCGCTGGAATGCGTGCTCAGAGCTGCTGGCCGTGAGCAGCACGAGCAGTCTGGGTGCGTAGTTCAGAACCATCAGGAGCCACATTTCTTTGATAAAAGAGCCGCATGTGGCTCGAGAGCCAAGGGTTGGCCAGCCCTGATGTAAAGTATGAATACATTACTCCCATTCTCAAAGAGAGTGTATATTTCTTGGTTTCAGATAACTCTTCCTGCTCCTAAAACTTTGACACAGCCGAAAGATATTTAAATAGCCGTACTTATAAAATCAAGAGTTTCAACATTGTGTTGAGCAGTTCTGGACATATCCATAGCCTAGATCAAACTCCATGAGTAGTAACACACAGAACATACATGGGATATGTTCTTTGTGGTGCTAGGGTTGCCTATCTGTCAGGAGAGGGCCCTGGTTCTGATGTGAGCTCTTATCCATTCAGATAGAAGTAAGACCCTACTAGATACTGGGTTGTGCCCACGATAGCTCATGATACTATCTCTCTATTTTTTGGTTAGTGTCTAAGGTGTTACAGGACCATTGATGTTTAGGGTTTTTTGCTAGATACTCTATCACTCAAGTGGAAGAGGAGGAATAGGAAATTTCCACTCTGCTGTTGTCTTGTGACTTCTCTGTTTAGACGCACCATCAGCAGGTTTTCTTAAAGTGTGTGGGTTGAATGAATGGGTGTGTAGTTAAGTAATCACAGAAGCATATTTGTGTAATAAAACAGATAGTATTAACTTCTGTAAGTAGTTTAGAAATGCTCAGCATATGTTAAGGAAAAACAAAGATGTTTATGATTAGGCTTGGCAGAATTTGATTTTTGCAGAAAAGTTGGGTGTCGGACAGTGGGTGTTGAATGACTATTTAATGATAATAGAGTCAAAAAATTGGCTTTATAACTATTAAGACACAAATTATCAACTTTGGAAGTCAAAATAAATATCTTTTAATCAGTCTAAATTTTTAAGGAAACATAAAATGCTGTTTATATGTAAATATCTGTCAATGGATTTTTTGGCAGCTTGTATGTGTGTGGGGGGGTGAAATCAGCATTTACTGGTAATCTAATGATTTCAAGTTTGTAAGTTACTTTATTAGCAGGCTTCTTTGTAATACTGCTATCTTGGTATATAATGGTACAGGAAGAGACCATCTATAAAACTTTTTTTTAATAGCATACCTACCTTAATCTGGAGTTGTGGTTGGTTTATTGCATTTATTGCCAGCTCACTTGATAAAGATTCTTTCCCATTTCAAGAATAAATTCAGTTTATATAAAGTTCATTGGTTTTTATGTAATGTTGTTTACCTGAACTCCTACTAAAGAACAAATTAATAGGTAAAGAGATTAATTTTCCTAAGTAATTATTCCTTGATGTCAGTGCTTAACTCTGCATTCACACAAATCATTTTTTGAGCTATGGAGGCATTTAGTTCAGATATTTCATGTTTAATGTATTGACTCTGTTATGGCTGGCTACTTAAATATTCCTTAAATTTTGAGTAGTCAGTCTATCTTCATCCATTCATGTATGATTTTGGACAATAAATTTAAGGAAAAAAATAGTATTTGATTATAAATTGAAATAACTTGCAACTTTTTTAAACAGCTGTAACTGAGAGAGAGGTGGGAGAGGCTGCTGTTTAGTAGCCTGCCTGGGAGCCAGGGTGCAACCATTCCAGACTGCTTCCCTTCAATCCCTCTGGCTGTGTCTACTCTACACCTACCACATATGTGGGTATAACTTAGGATGCAAATAAGCCATCCCTTTGGTGTCCTTAGTTACACTGACCTAAATGCCAATATGGACAGCTATGTATCAGCGGGAGAGCTTCTCCTGCTATCACAGCTACTGCCTCTCCTTGTAGTTAGATTAATCTAAGTTGACAGGAGAGTTTTTTCTTGCCATCTTAGAGAAGCCCTAGACCAGGAGTGGGCAATAATTTTTTGTGGGGGGGTCCCCTCCAAGATTTTGGTAAGTGGTCAAGTGCTACATTTTCCTGGGGAGGAGGTATGGGATTTAGTGTGGTGCCGGAGGGTGCATGAGGTAAAGAACTAGGGTGCAGGAGATGGTGTGAGTTCTGAGAGGGAGTTTGGGTGAAGGAAGGGGTTGTGACCTGGGGCAAGGGATTCGGGTGCAGGGTCTGGGAGGTAGTCTGGCTGCAGGAGAGGATTCTAGCCTGGAAGAGGGATATAAGAGGTAGTACAGGGTCTGGGAGAGAGTTGTGACCTGGGGTAGGGAGATGAAGGGTTTGGATGGTGACCTGGGGGAGGGAGTTGAGGCGCGGGAGGGACAGGGGTGGCAGAGGCAGGCTCTGGCTAGGAGATGTTTACCTATGCGTCTCCCAGCTAGCAGCCCTGCAGCACCCCCAAAGCATGCTTGGCTCCCTGTCTGCCGCAGCTCCAGACTGCTTGAAAATACATACTTCTCCCTCCATGTGGCGCTCTGCTCTGGGAAGGGGAGGCTCAACCCCCAGGCCAGTGTCTCAGCTCCTATGGGCTGGTTGTTTCCGGCCAGTAGGAGCTGAGGATTGAGCTGGAGACAGGAGATCACAGGAATCTCCCCCTTTCCTCCAGAGCAGAGAGGTGCACAGAGCAGCTGTGTGCTTAGATCAGCAGCTGCTATGTGCCTGAGAGTCCTGTCCATGGGCTGGATCCGATGGTTTGGTGGCCCAGATGTGGCCCACGAGAGGAATCTTGCCCACCCTTCGTGTAGACAGCTTACAGTAATGCAGACACACTCTCTCTAGTGTAGTTATAGACTCTGAAATGTCTCCTCAACCAGGAGCTGCAAGGAGGGAAGATATGTAGGAGCTAGTTATGCTAGATCAATGCTTTCAAAGGACTCCTCCATGGCAGAGAACATCCAGTAAGGGAAATGCTGGTAATTCCTGCCAGCCTCAACTGACGAACGGGTTAAAGAATCTGTCTAGGCTAAGGTATTGATTGTAGACACTTGATTGCCATAATTTTTGGCTGACAAGATAGGATGCTATTGAATAATGTATGAATTGATTGGTGTGTGTATTTGGGAGTTGTTCCAATAAATAGACTATATTTCTACTGCTTCCTTAGAAGATTCCTGAAGACTTTTCCCTAACTTTGTGTCCAAGTCCTCCTTTTCCTTGTACAATTTCTTTTTGGAGGTGGGGAGTTCTGAGAGTTCTTATATTTTATGGCAGGGGTTTTCCTAGTTCTAAGATGAGAACTATGGGTACGTCTAGACTACATGCCTCTGTCGCCAGAGGCATGTAGATTAGGCTACCAGACATAGTAAAATGAAGCGTCGATTTAAATAATCGCCGCTTCATTTAAATTTACATGGCTGTCGCACTGAGCCGACAAACAGCTGATCACCTGTTTGTCGGCTCAGCGCGATAGTCTGGAAACAAACAGCTGATCAGCTGTTTGTCGGCTCAGCGCGGCAGCCATGTAAATTTAAATGAAGCGGCGATTATTTAAATCGACGCTTCATTTTACTATGTCTGGTAGCCTAATCTACATGCCTCTGGCGACAGGCATGTAGTCTAGACGTACTCTTTGTCTCTTGACTTCTGTCTTGAAATAACTTGTTCTGTGGTAAGTCAGTCAAACAGCTGATCAGCTGTTTGTCGGCTCAGCGCGGCAGCCATGTAAATTTAAATGAAGCGGCGATTATTTAAATCGACGCTTCATTTTACTATGTCTGGTAGCCTAATCTACATGCCTCTGGCGACAGGCATGTAGTCTAGACGTACTCTTTGTCTCTTGACTTCTGTCTTGAAATAACTTGTTCTGTGGTAAGTCAGTGTAGTTAATGATGCACAATGGTGATGTGACTTAACCAGAGGGTGTTGAGAAGATCGGTTGCTGTATGCATTTTGTCCCATCTGGAACTGTTTTAAGATTGGTGCATTCATTTAATAAAACAGTAACTCTACAGTGGCAAATTGTATACAAAAATATAAATACAAATCAAGATTCATTAGCATTTCCTGATAAAAACGGGGAAAAAGAATACATAGAAACCTTAAAATAAGCTAAAAGGTAAAGATATGGTTATAATCTTGGAATGTGACAGTAGTTATTTTCAGTGCCTGAAAGAGGAATAGATCTAAAACCCTAATTTGGTTCATGGAAACATTGTCAGTAACTCCTTTTAATTGTTTTCAGAATTTAAAGAAAGCTCTATTGCCCTTGCCATCCAAACTATAAGTGGAACATCAGTTGATGGTTCTGATTGTCTAGTGTGTTTGCCATTAATTTTATTTGTTCTTTTCACCTTTTGAATGCCATGGGGGATATAATCTTTTTTATTCTAGGTATTTAGCTCTCTAGGACTCCTAGGATAAGCATACTCTGTACTTGCAGAAAGAGTGCCATTAAATTATGTATTCATTGTTTAGCAAACTGTTGCATAGCGCACGTGCTGATTTCTAAAAAATGTTGTGTACGTTTCTCAATGAATCAAATATGAAATGTTGGAATTCTTCTTAATTCACGGTACTTTGGTTACTTCATGAAATGTGAGTTTTCTGTCAAAATGGATTTTTAGTGTTAGAACAGTCCTCTGTCATAAACTGACCAGTTGTGGTAAAACTTGCACAGAATAAATTTACCTGTAAATTCTTAAATGTTAAAAGTTAGTAAAGCTAACTATTTGATATAGATCATACCAGTGTAATGAGTACTTGATGTATAAAGCGTTACATGGGGCAGCCTGATGAGAGGCCACTGGTGAATGAATCTTTTTAATACTCCCTGCTTTATTGAAATATTTTAAAAAAATGGTTGCCTCCTTGAGTAGGCTGTACACTTTTCATACTAGAATTTTAATTTTTTTCTCTTCTGTTGCAGGTCCATGAAGTGCTGTCTCACCAGCTTCCTTTTAGTTTAATTTAATGTACCAGCATATAACCGGTGGTGATTCCACACCTACTATTGTATATCACTGAACCTTGACTAAAAGGTAAAAGGCAACTCCCATTAATTGCTAGGGTGTTATTTCTGTAAAGTTTTAATTTGTATGATTTGTATAGGATACAGAACTGCATAAAAATAATGGGAATTACCTTACTCCATATGGAGGCTGCAGTGGTATGTAATGGTACATGTGTGATTTCAGCAAGACATTGGTTGAGTGTTGCACTGAGTGACAGGGAGCGCTTCATGGGAGCTGCAATAGAAAGTGAAGGGGAGACAAGAAACTTTAAAAATTAATCTGTGCTGTATAGCCAATATCCCAACCCCCAGTCTTATATCACGAGATCCAAAGCACTTCAAAAAACATGAAACTGATGCTGATTCCACACCAAATTTTTTAAAGGAATAAAGTAAACTTAAACTGCATCTTGGTCAGAAAACTTCTATCTAATGCTTTTATAAGTAACACCTAACATTACAATAGCTGAAAACAAACTCATTTATGGATTTGACAGCTTTTTTGTATAGTCAATGTTACTGTTTTGCCTATGTAACCTGTACATTTTGCTGTTTGAATGGGATTTTAACATAGCAATAAGGCTATACTGCCTGCCTTCCCTCCCCCTTTCTACATCCTCTGTATCAGAGGCAGTAGAGCTGGGAGGGGGGGCAGCTCTGCAAGAGCTAGTGCTTGTGGGAGGCAGCAGTGCAGGGGGACCCACATGCACTGGCTCCTCCTGTCTTCCGCTGTTGCCTGTAATACAGAGGCATTATCACAGAGGGGCAGTGTGCTTGTAACCATGAGGGTTAATCAGTTAGCCATGTCCTTGGATCCATGTTCACATATACCTAGAGCATGCTGCGGGGGTTTAAGCACTTTGATTCCTGTGGCATGCTTATGCCCAGAGGGAACCCACATACAGCTGGCCTCAAGTGTTTAAGTGGGGGACACTTAGTTTAATTAAACTTCTTAGTTTAATAAGTGCAGCATTTGCAGGAGTTTTAGGTCAAGAACTAAGTGAGAGATCAGCCCTTGAAATTCCTGCTTATGGAGTTAGCACTCAGATCCTTGATGCCCACACTTATTGGCACCATGGAAAAAGGGACATAAAGAATATTGGTATCGGTCCCCACCAGGGCCAGTTCCTTGGCACACCACCGGTCCCAGTTCCTGGTGTCACACAAGAAGTCCAATTTGGACAGAGGTTGCTTTTCAGCCAGGAAGGCCACCAGTCACTGCACTCTGGTGCATCCCTTAGTAGCGCATCTATGGCACCATCAAATCTGGCTCCAATCATGAGGATGTTGAGTCTGGGCTCATTGGATTTCCTGGTACAGGGAGTAGTGAAGAAGGACCTGGACCTCCTTCCCCTCCACTTTTGAGGCTGCCTGTGAGCTTATCCAGAATATGGAGCACGCAGCTCTGGCACAGTCAACAGTGTACAGACAGGCACTGGCTCCTGCTGCGGGACACTATTCAATGTCTTAACGGCCAGTGGCACCACCATTAGTACAGCTCTTTCTTCTGGCACTCACACTTCCAACATTGACTTCGGCTGCCACTGTGTCCAGTCCAGCACCTTGCGGCACCAGTGCCCATCTCCTTAGCACTGTCGAGCACTACACCTCCTTAACCTGATTCGGAAGACATAGAGTCGGAGGCTGAGTTCGGTCTCCTGTAGTACCCACTACCACTTCTGGAAATGCCATTGGGAAGCTTCCATGACACTGCAGGCATCTGGCCTTTGAAGTGTCAGGTTCCTGTACAGTGGCCATTCTGAATTCTGGGCCTAGCATCAAAGTCAGGACCCAGTGTTGTGGGCAATGTCAGTGGCTTCATCTCACCAGCCACCATTTTTGTCTCAGAGACTTGGAGCCTGAGGCTGCCCCAATGCAGGTGCTGCCAGAGCATCCCAGTCACACTAGTCCCTGTGCCACCAGCAGCTTGCGTGCCCAGTGTCTCTGAGGACACCAGGAAGCCAGAGGGTCAGGAGGACTAGGTTCCTATAGTATCATCTTCCTTGGGTGACACAGTTGTGAGCACTTTCTCCTCCTATTCTGCCCTGATGTTAAAGCACATCAGGACTTCCTCAGGCAGGTGCCCTGCAGCCACAATGTGCCAATGGAAGAGATGGTAGAAGATGTGGATCCAGGGGTTGACATCCTGGCCCGTGAGGGTCTATGTATGCTGACATTGCCATTGATGCTATACTCACACTAAGGTGCTGTGACAGACTCCAGCCTGCTTCCCTCCCTCCAGTGACTAAAGAAGTCAAGAGGTGCTGCTTTATTCCACAGCAGGGGTACGAATACTTGATTACTTGTCCCCTGCTGGGGTCACTTGTGGTCAACACAGTCAATCACAAGGAATGGCAGGGACAACCAGGGCCTGCTCCAAAAATTAAAGATATAAAGAAGCTGGACCTCTTCAACTGGAAGGTATATTCGACGGGGGTTCCAACCTTGCACGTAAGCTAAGCAGACACTGTTGAGTTGGTATGCATACAGCGCCTGAAACGCATTAACCAAATTCCGGATCTGCTTCCCGCAGACTCATGACAGGAATTTTCTGTAGTCCTGGGCAAAACAGTGGCTATACTCTCCCTCCAAGCAGCTACTAGAATTATGGCCACAGCCATCATGATTCAGCACAACACATGGCTCCATGTCTGGGCTTGCTCCAGAACACAATCCAGGACTTCCCATTTGACTGTCGGTCCATTCTCTGACAAAACGGACACCTGGATGCAGTCTAAAAGACTTCTGAGTGAACCTCAAGTTGTTCAGCATTCACATACCAGCACCTCAGTACAAGCAGTTTAGGCTGCATCCTCCCTCACTTTTCTTCCTGGGTCCCCCTCGGCAAGACCATTCCCACGGGTCAGACAGAAATAACGACCGCAGATGGTCTTCACAGTACTATGGCCAGGGTCAGTCCAAACTTCCCTGAGGCCCTCAACTAAACTTTTGAAGGTGCATCTGAGGTCAGAGCACAAATTATCCGTCTCTCTATACACAGCACCTCCTCTTTTTTGGAAATTGCTTATCCTATTTCTGCTGTGTTTGGGCCTGTATCACTATGGAATTTAGGGTTTTGAGCATGGTAGGGGTAGGATATTCCATCCAGTTCTCTTCCCACTTTCCCCGTCCTTAATCAAAGGCCCCTCTCATGAGCAGCTTCTTAATCAGAAAGTACACTGACACCTGGCATTAAGGGTGATAAAGGAAGTTCCTCAGGGGTTCAGAGACGGGAGAAATCTATTCCTGATATTTCCTTATTCCTAATGCCAAGGGAAGGCTTAGGCCCATCATGGATCTTCAAAACCTGAATGTGTTCATAAGAAAGTTCATGTTCTGCTTGGTCTCCCCAGCCACGGTCATTCTGTCCCTCGATCCAAGAAACTGGTACATCACTCTTGATATGAAGGATGCGTATTTCTATATTTCCAGTACACAGGAGATTCCTAAAGTTCATTGTGAGCTGTGTTGCTTATCTCCAGTCCAAATCCCACCCACCTCCCCTCTGTTGGAGTAATGGCAAGAAGGAATTGAAGAGGTGGAGGGTCAATAGAGCTCTATATACTGCACTATACAGGTACTACCAGGGCGTTCCACACCTAAGTCTATGGGTACTGCTAGGGGAAAACCTCCAATCGTGCATGTGGCATGCACACGTGTAACCTTGGGTGGGCTAGACCACTTCATTGTCCTTCTCCAGTGCCTTAAAAAAACCTCAACTCCAATAGAAAAGTAGCTGGAGACCCAGAATTCAGTCTAAGGATTTTCATCAAAGATTGCACAGTCAACTCCCACATTCAAGTCCCAAAATGAATGACAGAAATGAATTCAATTAACTTTATAAAAACTCACAATGAAGAAACATAATACAAATTTTATATCAAATATAGCTATTTTATAACTCAAGGATGTTATCCTCATAGTTAAAATAAACAGAATTAGAAATAAAATTTTAACAGTTGAGTCCACACAACTAGAATAATGTGGGTAAAATCAAAACATTCAAAGCATGCAATTAAAACGGAAGATATTTTCCCTTTCCAGTTTCCCCTTGCTATAATTAATGTTCCCTGTTAGTGGGTTAACAACAGCAGTAACCTGCAGCAAAGTGCTTCAGAGTGAGGGACTTGAGCCTGCTTTCTGTACCTGAGAACCAACTGGAGCAGACCCTCAGACTACCACATGCAATTCCAGAAGCTTCTGTGTTGGAGTGCTAAGTCTGCTTAGCTACAGTGACTGAGACACAACTCTTACCTCCTGCCATGGGTCTCTTAATGAGAGATCTCCTTATTAAGTACATGGGACACTCACTTCTCTCTATTGGAATGGACATGAGCAACACCTCTAGAAGAACAACAGTTGCAAAGGTAGATAATCACTGAGCGAAGGAAAAGTGGTTAAGTTAAAATCATTGTGATCAGGGTAATGCAAATATCCATTTGATATTTCAGAAACTAAGGTTTTTCGGTATAGGTTTATTGAAAATTCAATTAAAATATACTGTGGTATTGTAGAGTACATATGAATTTTCTTGTGATGACAGCTGTGTTGAATCGCTGCTATATGTTTAATATGAACTGACTGAGCTCTTCATCAGATTTAAAACACGCTTTGGTGATTAAAGTTTGAGATTTTTAAAATAAGTATGACTTAGCTTCTTTGTACAAAGCTAAATGAACAAAAAATTCTCTTAGGGAGGATTTTAGGACTATGACATCATGAAGGGAAATATTGTAGATCTGCTTTGCTTGTTTGAATTCAGAATTGGTTGTTGCATACTTTAGAGTATGGATCTAAGATACCATTTAATTGGTTAAATGTGATTAATTGGTTAACCGTTTAAAGGGGGGAGGGCTGCTATATCCTGTCCGTGCTAGAGTGGCCCCACCATGGCTGAGATGGAGTGGCATCCTCTGCCTGTGACATGGTGGGCCCCACAAAGCTGGAGTAGCCCCATGCCTTGGCAGGTGAGAAGCTGCTCCAGTCCCCCACTGGTTTGCTTACTGGTTAATCTTTCACATTCCCTAC